GCTAATAGTATTTAACATTAAAATCTACAAGTAAATATGCAAATAAAAAAGCCAAACATGACAGAATTTTATGTATTATCCTAACTTAAATGCTTGGCCATTTCTGGTTAAAAAAGTATCAAGCTAAATCAAAAATATTGTCTTTTTTATAACATTTACAATATAAATTTTTTTTAAATTTTTCATTTTTACTCATAGTAATCATAGTAATACAACACTATCCTACCTAATTTTTTTTACACAAAAAACATTTTTATAATAAAGTTTAAAAACTAAAAAATTATATTATTTATATTAATTTATTTTTAAATTTAAATTTATAAGAAAATACAAAATTCTTATAAAATAAAAAAAATTTGAATATTAGTCAGTTAAGGGGGGAAACCAAATTAGAACGCTGTTTTTTGCCGTTTTTCGCGAATTTTTTTGAATGAAATAAAACATTTCCACTATGTTGTTCATATATTTAACTGTAATTCATATTTTTTATAGGCGTTTATATAAAAAATCTTCCAAATTGGGAGCTATTGCATATAGAGCTGCTCCGCCGGAGTTCATGACTGCCATGCAGTCCTGAGCCCACAAATTTTGTCCGAAAGCAAAAAATCAAGTTTAATCATATTTTATAAATATTTTATTATTAAGTGAACTAACTTTTAAGTGAAAATATTAAAAATTGAAAAATTGACACTACTTTAAAAAAAATTTGATTTTTTGCCTACTTTTTTGCAACTTTTTTATTTTAAAAAAGGTACTCAAAATTTTTTTTTCTTTTCAAGTTTAGTTCACTTAATAATAAATTTAATAACGAACAATTTCCAATTTTTCATTTTAAAATCGGTCAATAACTTTTTGAGCTACACTGTACGGCAGTTTTAAAAATCCTGTTTTGAGAAAAACGCATTCGAAAAAGTAATATCAAAAATTCATATTTATACAAAAAAAATTTTTAAAGTGATTACACTTTAATCGGCTATTTCAACACTATATATATCCTTTCATGTGCTTCATAAGTAGCATGTAAGTCTAATAATTCCTCTTTTCGTGACTTTCTGCTCTCCTTAGTCTCAAAAGTGCTACGCTTATTCTACTAATCTACGGTAACCTGGAGCGCGCTCCGTTCATCGCTAGTACAGCAAGGACTTCGAATTTTGCTCTAAAAACTTTGTTAGCCTATTTTTGAATACCTTAACTAACAATTTATGCAAAAAAGAAAAAATCGATTTTTTCAGACGTCTAGTGTTTCCCCCCTTAAGTCATTTTTTGTTTTATTTAAGTATTTTAACATTAAATACTATTATAAAAATACTTTGAAATTAACAGTACAGTTCGACGCCTCCCGTTCATATAATGCTTATAGAAAAACAAATGCAAGATCATTCTTTTTCAATTTTTAGTGCAAAACAATTCTTATTAAAGTTTTCGTGCAATAAAATGCTGATTCAAAATTCTATGCAAAAAAGTACAATCTGAAATTAGCTTACACTATGAATTTTATGAAATTTTCATTTCAATATAAATTTTAATTACAATTGCTAAAAAAATATTTCTTAATACGTAAGAGAGAATCCATGTTTAAAGTTTCTTATAATAATAGATACGCACTGAAATTCTCAGATATTTAATTGTAATTTAATATTAAAACGAAGATTTAGGGTTACATTTATTGCTCTGTCAGTGGCAATTGTTTTGCACACAATTTTGAATAAGACCTTTTCTTGCACGGAAAATCGAATAAGAATTATGTTGCACCAAAAAGTGAATAAGAATGATCTTGCATTCGCTTTTTAATAAGCATTATATGAACGGGGGGCGTCGAGATGGTCACTCTAAGCTTTAGATTTTTACTAATTTTTAGGAATTTAAAGTTAAAAATCACTTATCAAAATTACTTTCAAAATAAGTCAAACACATGATTCTGAAAGTGGCACCTTATTATTATGGCACCTGTTTATTACCTTCAAGACTCTAATTTTGAACTGAAATAAAAAATATTCTTTTTTTGTTTAAGACAACATAAACTTTTTTATAATAAAAAACTGGGTACTTGTTTAAGATTTATTAAAAAAATATTAAACCATGTAAAGTATTACTGAAATTATATTAATTTTTTAATAAAACAAGGCAAACTCAAGGACGAGATCAAGCATTTTTAAAATGATTCTAGAAAGTTATTTAAATTACTTTACAAGTTTAATTGTTGAAAAAGTAGATAATTTTAGTGACCTGGACGGGAAAGTTGTTAATTTATTACTTGCATTTCTAAATTACAAAAAAAATCATTTTATATCATTAAAAAGTAGTATTTCACACAATTTTTAAAAACTTACCTCCTTATCCTTATTTTTAATCACAAAAATTTTTTTCGTCTTATTTTTTTAATTCTGAAAAGAGAAGAAAAGTGTTCTTCACTTTACACTTTTATTTTTCTGTATTATATACTGCAAAAATCTGTTAATAAACTGTAACTACACTGTAAAAAAAGAGAGTTAAATTTTAACTTCCCAGGGGATTCTATAAAAGTGGCACCCATTGTTGAGTTAATGCCAGGGGAGTTAAATAAAGAGAGTTAAAACTTCACACCCAAATGCTAACTCCCCAATGAAAAAATAACTCGCGCGGGTGTTGAATGAAGGGAGTTAGAAATTAACTCTCTTTTTGAGTTGATTTTCAACTCGAAAAATTTCACTCCAAACTCCCGAGTCCGTTAACTCCCTAAATTTTTTACAGTGTATATATGTATATACTCAAGTATAAAATAGACTACCAATGCAACTCTCTCTCTCTCTCTGCTCACTGGTCACTCAATAGACTGCCTACTGGTTGAAAGAAACCCTTCAGACAATAGGCCAGGTACTCGAGCAGACCTTTCGTCCCTGTTTATAACGCAGAATATCTAACGCTATTGCTTTCTTCCTCTTTTTAAATAGAAATAACATAAATCGGTCTTTGTTTATAACGCAGAAAATCTAACGCTATTGCTTTCTTCCTCTTTCCAAATAGAAATAACATAATTCGGTCTCTGTTTATAACGCAGAAAATCTAACGCTATTGCTTTCTTTCTCTTTCGAGGATAAGTAACATTAGACTGTCTCTCTTTACCTAATTTGCATATCTACTCGTTTCATATTAAGGATTAAAATTCTTCAACAAAATTCAATTATTTTCAAAAAATCTAAAAAATATGGTCAACATCTCAATTATCTTTATAAATAAATAGCAAAATTCTTCGACAAAATTCAATTATTTTCAAAAATTTTATTAAAATTCATTACAAAATTTCAATTATTTTCATAATTAACCATATTTATCACACGAATTCAATTATTTTTTAAAGTAATAAAATTCAATTATTTTCAAAAATTTTAATAAAATCCATTTAATTATTTTCAAAAGTAATAAAATTCTTTTTAGGACAATTTAATTATTTTCAATAAAATTTTAATCAAATTCCTCGCAGAAATTCTTAAAAATATTATTAAAATTGGTCCAAAGAATTTAATTATTTAAAAATTTGTTGATAAAATTTTCAATAGGAATTGAATTCCAAGAAACATTCAATTATTCAATAAATTATTTACTTTTGCATTTAAATAATTGAATTCTGGTAGAATTTTCTCATAAACATTGATTTAAAAATAGATTTCAGTTAAAATCTTAGATTATAATAATTGAATTCTTTCCAAGAATTTCATTAAAATTTTAAAAATAATTGAATTTTATTGAGACATTTTTTAAAATTGTCTTAAAAATAATTGAATTTCTACCCAAAAAAGTTTTATCAAAATTTTTTAAAATGTTTAGAATTTCTGCAAAAATTCTAATATTTTTGAAAATAATTGAATTCTTGCGAAGAATTTTTATTAAGACTTTTGAAAATAATTGAATCTCTGCAAACATTTTTATTATTTTACGAAAATATTTAAGTTCTTGAGAAAAATTTCATTAAAATTTCTGAAAGTAATTGAAGATCTGCTAAGAATTTTGTTATTTTCAATTTATGCCAAGAATTTTATTAAAATTTCTAAAAATAATTGAATTCCTGTTCATTTCTTACAAGAATTAAATTATTTTTAAAAATTTGAATAAAATTCTTCGCAAGGATTCAATTATTTGCATAAATAATAAAATTCAATGCAGAATTTAAATTATTTTTAATACAATTTTAATCGAATTTCTCGAAAAATGTAATTTATTATTCTTAAAAATTTTATTAAAATTCGTCCAAAGAATTTAATGATTTAATAAATTTGTTGATAACAATTTTTTATGTACATTAAATTTTAAGAAACGTTCAATTATTTAATAAATTATTTATTTGCTTTTTATTTGTATTTAAATAATTGAATTCTAGTAGAATTTTCAAATAAAAATTGATTGTCATTTCATAAAAATGAATTTCAGTTAAAATTTTAGATAATACAATTGAATATTAAAAGCAATACAGCGTGAATTTTAAAGAATAATTGTATTTTGTAATTAATTTTTTTTGAAAAAGTTTAATTGATAATGATTTCAATTATAATAAATTATTTTTATTAATAATTATTATTTAATTATTATAAATCATGAAGAAATCGATGACTTTGATTCGAAGACTCGGAGTTATCGATTTCTTTATGTTTTATAGTTGTGAAAAATTAAATTTCTAATTTTGAAGTAAAATATTCTCTTATTTGATTCGGATTGATTCCATTTTTGTCAGTTGGTCCGTAATTTTTAATTTTTGGTCCGTAAAGTCCGTATTTTTAAATACTTTAACTGCTTCGAGCCCTATTATATATCATTAAACGTAGAATTAAATAATCTTTCGAAAAGGTATATTTGTTAATTTTCTGACAATTGTATTTACAAGAAAATCGTGATTTAAAGATTAGTATATTTTTGTGCTTTGCGCGTGCAGCCGTCAAATTTTAAATTAAAATTAAGAAAAGACAAGATGTTTTTTAAAATTTGTAAAAAAGTCTTTGTTTAAATTAATTTTATTTACTCTTTTACAGGTGTGGAATTTAGAAAAATGAATCAACATCCTGGAGACCAGCATGAGAAAATTAAAATTAGATTTTCGTCAGTTAGAAAGAGACAGAGAAGAATACAGAGAGCGAGATAGAGCAAGGGAAAGAGCAAGAGAGCAGGAAAGAGTTGAAGAAGAAAGAGCTAGGGAAAGAGAAAGAGAAAGGGAAAAGAAAATGAGAAAATATTAAATCAAGCACCGAAAATTTCCTGAAAGTTGAAATTAACTTGACTGCAAAAATGAGTTATTTGTCCCAACGCTCATGAAACTTGAAAAAAATTCATTTAAAAATTTTAAACAAGTTAATTTCAATTTTCAGGAAATTTCTAATGCTGCCTTTATATATTAACACATTCTATAAACCTGGAAAAATTACCTTAACATCTCAGCTTTCAATTAAAAAAATACATCCTAATGTCGCTCATACTTTTTTTAAAACAATTTTTTTGGAGAAATGTAAGGTGAGCCATTACGCCCATTTTGTACCACGAAATGAAAGTTTAAGAAATATGTAATATCAACTTTCATCATAGTTTGTTTCAATTTCTGTTTAAAATTACTTTTCAGTTACAAATTCAGCGAAGAGAATAAATTATTTTTTATTTACATAAACTATTGTGTCATGCTTAATTATAGCAAAATTATAAATTAAAATTTGTTTCTTGTTCTGTTCTCAAACAATATTTTTATGTATTACTGTTTATATTTTCAAAATTTGTAATAAAATTACACGAAAAAATTCAATTATTTTCTAAAATTTTAATAAATCCTTCGAAAAAATTCAATTATTCTTAAAAATAGTAAAATTCTTTGCATAAATTCAATTAATTTTATAAATACTAAAATTCTTTGATGAATTCAATTATTTTCTAAATAATTTTAATTTGATTGCTCGAATGAATTCAAATATTTAAAAATATTTCCATAAATTTGAATTATTTCCTAAACTTTTAATAAATTCTTCGAAACAATTCAACTATTTTTATAAATACTAAAACTCTTTGTAGAAATAAAATTATTTTTAATTAAAATATAAATAAAATTAAACGAAAGTATTGAATTATTTTCAAAAATTTTCATAAAATTCAATTTCAACAAGAATTTAAAATTTTCAAAAAATAATTCAATTATTCTCAAAATATTTTAAAAACTCTATATGAAGATTAAATTACTTACAATACAATTTTAAAATATATTCGTAAAAAAATAAAATAATTCAATTATTTTGCATCTACTTAATTTTTATAAAATTCCATTATCAGGGTTGCCATGCAACCTGGTAACCTGGAAATGTCAGGGAATTTTATAAATCTTAAAAAAACCTGAAAAAGTCAGGGAATTTTGATCGAAATCCATGAAAATTGTTGTATTCTAAAGTTTTTGTGTTTATTCTTAATATTTAATTAAAGCAATTACAAATGATTGCAGAAATTCAATTGTTTTCAAAAATTATATAGAAATACTTAGAACAATTTTAATTATTTTAAAAATTTTCCTCCATTAAATGATTTTTAATATGTACTACTTTAATAAAAATTCCTAAAAGAATTCAATTAGTTAAATAAAAAATTTAATAAAATTCTACGCAAACATTTCATTATTTTCATAAATAATAAAAATTTTACATTCAATTATTTAAAAATTATTTTTATAAATAATAACCTTTTTTTGCAGGCATTCAATTATTTTCACAAATTATAAAAATCATAGATCAGACAAAGGCATATTAGACTATTCTTGAAATTATAATTTTGTTGATTAAACTGTAGCTGCCATTGAAAGCTCAAACATGGCGTTAAATGAACGTTTGCATATCAAAAATCTTTAATCTTAAACTTTATACATTTCAAAGATCAATGTGAATCATTTCAACTTTAAAAAAATTGGACAAGTGCGAGTTGTACTAGCACTGCAATGGCGGGTTCCGCACACAAATATTAAAACAATACTTGCAACATTGATCGGTAATTGGTAGAATTAAAATAAACAATTATAAAAATATATTAAAATCATTTGATAAAAAAAAAACTAAAAAAATTAAAGTATTGTATATATCTAATATTGTAATCAATAATAAGCAGAGGAACAAAATTTTCAAAATTTATTATAGTTCCTCTGCTTATTATTGTTTACAATATTAGATATACAATACTTTAATTTTTTTTAGTTATTTTTTTTTATCAAATGACTTTAATATATTTTTATAATTGTTTATTTTAATTCTACCAATTACCGATCAATGTTGCAAGTATTGTTTTAATATTTGTGTGCGGAACCCGCCATTGCAGTGCGAGTACAACTCGCACTTGTCCAATTTTATTTTATTTTTAGTTAAGAAATTAAAGTCAGAAAACATTCTCTCATTTATTCTCTTCAAATTTCACTCTCTTTCTTAAAATATTTAATGCCACGTGTTTAAACTAAAAAAAATTAAAACAAATTTTTTTTTTTGAAAAAAAAATTTAAAAAAAATTTTTTTTGATTTTTTTTCAAAAAGTTTCTTAAATAAATTTTTTGTCGTCAGACTATAATAATACACTAGGATACCAATTTTCAGCTCATTAGGTCAAATAATGTAAAAGTTAGGAAAAAAAATTTTTTTTTTTTAAATTTTTTAGTTTTTCCTTGACAACGCTATGGCCATCATTACATATCAAGTTCTCTTTATTTTTCCTGTAATATTCGAGTAAAAATACACCAGCATGCAAAATTTCAGCTCTCCATGTCGAATAGTTTAGAAGTTAAGGGGGGGGAATGGTCACTTTTTATGCATTTTTGGCCAAAAATCTTGTTATTTCCTTGACAACGCTATGCCCATCACGTCCAATCACATTCGCTATATTTTTCCTGTAATCTACGAGTGAAAATACATATCTGGACCAAATTTGAGCTCTTTAGGTCAAATAGTTTAGCCGCTAGGGGGGGGACACGATTTGGCTACGGACAACAGAGTCTCACCAATAGGGTTCCGCCGATACACCGTAGGTGTACGGAACCCTAAAAACGAATTTTTTTATAGCAAACTTCCATTTTCTTTACTTTTGAATTTTCAATATTATTTCTTTTCATACATTTGTATGATATAATGTATTGTATGTACAACCTTTAACTTTAACATTAAAATGTAGTCAATTATTAGATTTATATTTTTAATTAAAGAGATAAAAATTTAAAGTTAATGAACATAAAGTTCCTTTTATTGCTTGCTATAATAATTTTGAAAATATAATAATTAGTTATTTGAAATCTAAGTTTTTGATTTCGGAAGTAATGTTTATCTCAGCGGATCATGTTGACATGAAGATGATTCGTTATGACTTACATATTTCAATTTTTTTTTAAATTTCTAACAACTACGAATATACTAACATTTAATCAAAAGCATTTATCGTTTGTCTATTGAATTAAACGAAAAAAACAAACAATTATAGGTTCCTTACATTATTCTAGTACACTGCAAAAACTAGTGTCCTATTCGATATCTTAAAATAAGATGCTTTCGAAAGCATCTTACTGATTTTCAAGATGCTTTATACTTCTTAGATAATTTTTTCTATCTCAAAAAAGTAAGACACTTCTGTAAGTTTTTTAAAGTGTCCCAAATTAAGATGTTTTGGCGCAATAAGATGTTCAGCAATAAAGTTACTTATGTATCGTAAGATGCGAAAAATAATTTAAGTTACTAAAAACTAAGATGCATGAAATGTTTTACATATAAGCCCATAGTTAACCTCCAAAATTTGTTTCTAAAAAATATGCTAAAAATATGTACGAAGATACTTTTAACATCTTAAGTTAAGACACCTTAAGTAACTGAAAAGTGACTACCAAAACATCTTAGAAATGACTACGAAAACATCTTAAATTAAGACACTTCCTTTTGCAGTGTACCAATTCTTAATTCGCACTATTAATCAAAAGTTGTCTTGTTTTATGTTTAATTTATGTCAATATAACTTTTTTTTAATTATAAATAATGATTTGATTTAAACAAAACTTAATTTGTAATTTTAAAATGCCATACATTTTAAATAACAATAGGCTGATTTTAAAACAAAACAATTTTTGTTTAACTTAGATCGTTGTTTTTCGATGGTACAGTTGTAATTTTTTTTTAAATTGTTAAATTAAAGAGGCGAAAGAAAGATGATTCCATAAGATACTTTGAAACTTTGCCGATTGCGAAAAATTCTTCTTTTGTAGACTAGTTAAACAATAGCTGAAAACAATACTTAAAAATAGCTTTTGGTTATAATAGGGAGTTTTCATCAAAAAATTTTTTTATTTAAATCGATAGATTAGGTCTGATTTATATAACAAATTTTTTTTCTAATAATTTTTTAATGAAAAATAAGCGTATAAATAAATAAAAACAGTTTGCATAATTTAAAAATAATAACGAAAACGGTCCGGAAATAACCGAGTTCTACCGAAGGGACTGTGACGTCAGAGGTGCTTATAGTTGTCTATGTTGCCATGAATTCTTCATGTAAAACATTAATTTTTTCTCAATATTTTTATACTATGAAGAAAAACAAAAGATATAAGACGTGTTTTATGCCAGAATTTATCAGCCAACAATCAAGACACAAGAAAAATTATTTTGTTCTGTACTACAAAAAAATATCAAGAGACAAGGTGCTGTCGTTGTAAACCAAATTTTTCTGCTGTCAAGATCATTTTAATTTATATAATTACATTGCAAGAATTTTAAATTATACTAGTTATAAATTATATTTTGAGATATGCAAGAGTAAATAAAAATTTCTAATATTATTGTATATAATGTAAAATTGAGTAGTCAACATAACCTAAAAATAAAATAATAAATCGATATTTTAGGCAAATTCGATGGATCTGCTTTTTCAAATCCCGGGTCTAATGTACAAAGCATTTTTTGATAAAAAAATAAATCGATACCTCAGTGTGATACAGTCCTATCTTCTGGTAATACTTAAAACTGTCCCATCTCGAGGTAACGTTTTCTACCGTGCTATCTCGAAATTTGACAGATTGTGGTGTCAATAAAAAAAATAAATTACGGTAATAAAAATAATTATTACATTCAAAACAATTATTTTTTCATATTTTAAGAGAGACTTTTTATTATAATATATAAAAATTTAGTGTGAATTAATTAAATTTAACCACTTAAATGCATTTATAGAAAACAGCTAATACATTAAGCCTACTTTTTGACAGCACGATACAAAGCATCACCAGAAGATAGGATTGTTCCAAATATTACCAGAAGATAGAACTGTATCATACTGAAGTATCGAAATCATTTATTTTCACTTTAAATAGAATAAAATAATTTTAAAACAATCGTAAACAAAGATCATGCATGGATCATGCAGCAGAAGACGCGAGAATAAGCACCCGTGACGTCACGTTTCAGTAACCAATAAAAATTGTTTTCTTTCAGCATGGATATTTTCAAAAATTTTACAATTTCTATTAAATTTTTTAATGTGTAAACTTAAAAAAAATTAAAAACTTTTAACGGTAATATATTTTAAAATATCTATATTTACTATTTTAAAAAAAAAACTTGAAATTTTTTTGATGCAAACTCCCTATTATATGTTTATACCAAATTTTCAATTTAACGATCCAAACCACTTGTTCTGGCTTGAAGTTTGTTCTGATAAAAGTTTTTTTTTAGAAATCAACCC